ATTCCTGCCTTACATGATTGCAGTGGGTGTGGGCTGGCAGACTTTGGCTGCTGGCAGCCTAGAAAATATATAAATTTTACTGTTGTAGATTGTTCAAGAAGTATCAGGATGATATAGTCAATGTAGCAGATGTACAGACGTAACCCTTGGTATCAAACATGGTGTTCAGTTTGGGAAGCAGATAACTGCTAAGGTCAAACGGTCAATGAAGTATACTTTTTCTCTCCCTCCTACTCACAAAACCTTGCCAACACAATGTTGCTTTTGACTTAAATGTCGGAAAAATGTTTACATCACACACTGATACTATTTAATCTTAAGGTATTCATATGTCTTATTAGAAATAATAAAACTGAATGAAGACTAGTTTATCAAGAAATAACTTCTCTGCTGTGGTGAAGATATGCACTGGGAAGAGTACAATATGCTGTGCACAGTATTTAACGATTACATTTGTTATGAATAGTTGACAAGTATATAGTCTTTAAAAAGAAAGCTAAATAAAATGACTTATTTATGAGCCTGCTTTACTCTGCTTCTTAAATTTGTCAAGTGTGAACTCTCTACTCAGCTGTTTGGCCTGTTTTATCACCCACACACCCTCATGCTGTGCCTTATTGTGACTGGCTTCTATCCAGAGAAAGAAGAGTGACTTACAATGGTTGACTGACAGGTGTACAGTGTATTGCCTTCCTTTTCCTGGTTATAACAAAGTCTCCTCCTGCATGACTGCATAGATGCTCAGTTGCAGCTGCTTTGCACCTACAGGTTTTTAAGCACTTGACGATGTTGCAAGTGTCTTACTCTTGACTTGAGTCCATGCGGTTGGGCAAGGAGCCGAAACCACAGCACAGCACACAGCGTTTGACGACAAATAATTACTATAGCTGCAGTTACAATATCCACCACAACCTCTCTGTTATCAATTATTCTCTCAAAGGAACAATATATGACGCACTTTGAATTATTTATGTTACATGTAAATCCTTTGACCTGGTTTACTCCTAGTGAGCTACTAGGCGACGCCACGGGTACTGACTATAGCAACTAAAGAAAGACAAACTGCTCATTTTCAGTGTTTGGTAGCTTGCAAAGTTATTTAGTTTCCCCATTACTTCACCGTGGAAGGAGCTGAACTACAGCAAAGCTAGGAGAAATGTAGTTTGGCTATTAAAATCAATCGGAATCATCTTTATTTGCCAAGTCTGTTGAACACGCGAGGAATCTGACTCCCGTTCACTGGCTCTCAATGCGCTTTTGAAAGTCAACAGGAACAAATATGTGCATAATAAATGAAGCAAAAACATCATGTGAAAGAAGAGCTTTCAGATAAGTAGGTTACAAGGTTATATTCACAAAGTATTGCAATTTTTGCTTTGCCATCATGTTATTCAGACATACGGTATATGGATCAAACATGTTATTCAGACATACGGTATATGGATCAAACTGACAATGTACATGTGACCAAAATATAATACACTCAAATGAATTTATAGCCTGAGACCTAAACCTGTACTAAATAATACAATCACATCTGGGCTTTTCACAAGGACGACATTGCAAGGAATATTATGTTTTTGTTGCAAACAAATCTGGATTTTGTGTTATTTGATTAAAATTAAAACAGTAAAGAAAACATAGTTGACTGACTGGAACACTCATCTAAAAGAGCAGGTGTCTCATTTGTACAACTAAAACAATCTTTAGCTTGTGTCCTTTTGGACAGTATGAACAGCTTGAACACTGTTTTAAAATTATTGGGCCTGTCTTTTTAAATGTCAGGCCGGCATCTTGTTTACGTATATGACAGACGAGCCGTCATTCAAAGTTCTGTTTAGTGCTGAAAATGCCTGTGCCAGCGCTGAAAAGCTGCTCACATGCAGTAATGGTAACATAATAAAAGAAAGATCAGGTGCCAGATGACTTAACAAGGCATGTGGTTTGCGATTAGTTTCTGAATAGGTAAAAAGCAAAACACATTGTTGCACTACTGTGACACTAAAAGCCATTTTTGGTCCTCCAGGTGAGAATTTGCTCAGGTTCCAGTTTTACCATCTTCATGACTTTTGACTTGACTTGAGAAACATTTTATCAGCCATGATCTCTTAATCCTTATGTGTAACACTGAGTCAGTTCGTGTCCCAAATCATTTCTGTCCCACTTCTTATTCTTCTTAGAGCCAAAGAAACACCTGAACCATTACTGAGCTTTTTTTGCATGTCGACTCTTGACGTTTCCATTTACTTGTGTTCATTTCAGGAATCAATGATATAGGGTTTAATATAACAACATAACCACTATCTTACAGTAAATATGTTAAATGGGCACAATAAAAGTGATCATGCAGAAATACAACTGGCTCTTTATATGCACTCAAAAATTTGACTAAGCAAAGAAAATGATCACCTGATTGACAATATATGTATATGTGACTGTAATAGTGATCTAAAAACTGAGCTATCAAGCTAATACTGTAAGACCGTATTCAGTTAAATCCAACTTTTGTCTTCAATAGTAAATAGATATTAAACTCTGCAGACATGAGGTGAGATTTAATGTGTAAGCTTTGAGGTTTAGGTTAGTAATTTGGCACTTTTTAAATCAGTGTATAATGTAAAACAATTAATATTAAAAATGGGGTAATTAATAATAAATGTATATCAGACTATTGTTGCTGTGCCAGGATAAAATCTAACAAATAATGAGAATAACATGGAAAAACATGTGGTAACCTCCATTTTTCCAGCTGCTGTTAGTGTAATTCAGCAGTCAAACACATTTGTGACATTGTTTCTGCAACTCAAATCAAATTTTGTCAGATAGACAATCCTGTTGCACGAGTTCCTACAGACATGTTACACTTGTAAGTTGCTTCGCTCTCGCTCTCCACCTGGAAAGCCTGGACACTGTGCCTGTCATTCTATCATTTGAAGCCGACCATCTTGTTCCTTTTTATATGATTATATAAATAAATAAATACACACATACACGCACACAGAAGCCAATGAACTTTTTGAATTACAATAATAACAGTGAGTCCAGAGTTGCTATGTTTCTATGAGCATGTTCCCTGTCTGTGTGTTGTGTGGGGGGGTGTTTCTTTTTTTTCTTCTGGGTATTCAGATTCACATCCCACTTTTCAAAAGCTTGCAGCTAGATTGAAAAATCTGCTAATTGACTTTTTGTTTTAGTGTAACTTTTCTTACCATGTCCTGTGAGGCTTGGACAGAGTGGTGAATGTTTAACTCAGGCCTAAAGACTGCTGGTTAAAATTAACTCAGGTCAGAGTACTTAAATAAAATGCCATAGTACATCTAGTAAAGGTAAACAGATTGGTCACAGGTGCGTGTCCTATCTTCAGCCCCTAGGTGGAGATAAATAGCCGTGAATGGTTCTGATGAGACAGGGACTCTGTTGAGGACCCCAGCAGGGATGTGGGGTGCACAGTACACGGTTTAGGTTTATAACAGAAGAGACACTGTCACTGCTGAGGTCGATTAAACCTTGAAGCATCTTCAGACCACTCTCAGTCACTAAAATGTGGTAAATTCCTCCTTTGTGCCTTTTTTGTCCCACTCTCATCACACAGTGCACAAGAACAACAAAATTAAAATGAGTGCGCGTCTGCCATCTAGTGGCAGGATATTGTAATGAATCCAAGGGAAGTTCATAAGTGACTATTGCCCTCCTAGACTGATTTATACTGACAGACACAAATGCAGAAACCTCTCTCTGACACAGGCATATCCAAACAGTAATGATCTTCAACACGTTTCATTACAGCCATGAGCCTGTGGTCTCAATTTAACAAGTGCAGACAAAATTACTCATGTTTACACACTGACTATAGCTACTGGACTGGGTGCAATTTGTTCAGGGGAATTTTTGTGCTGAAAATGTTGTGTGTTTAGCACTTGGATACGTGTCTTCCATCACTATTAAGGTAAGGAGCAACTTTTCTGTTGTGCTAAGTGTTAGGCATTTTTAGTCAGATAGATATTGGTTAGATACTTGATGTATTAGAAATGTTTAGAGCAGACAGGGTGTCTAACTCAGGCTGTTAAATGCTTAGGCATTCTCATGAGTGCTGCAGGTTGCTTATGGTCAAGGATAACTAGATAGAAAGTTGATGACTGTTAGAAGACAGAATGTTTATTATTATGACGTGTATAACTGTAGTCATAGCCATAATATTTTCTTATGTTTAATGTCATGACATGTCACTAGAGGTTGTGTTAGAATGTTTTTAGCTACACACCACATAATCAACAGACATTCACACATTGATTTTCCTCATGCTTTGAGTACTGCTCTGGCCAGCTGCAAAGCTGGCCCTGGGAGACATCACGGTTTGGCGTCTCCTTGTACAATGGGGTTAGCCCGAAGTGATATAATGTATAGGCCTGTTGTGGTTCGGGGTCTTTCATCTTTCAGCTGCCTGCGTGCATGTTGGAGGTGCAAGATACCTGAGCGTGTAATGTTAATTTTTACCTGTGTTCATTGAATAAATCAGCACTATTTTGAAGTTACTCGGACTGCTTCGTCTCTCAGAGTTAGCGTGAGAGCCGGCTGAACTCTCCAGACGACCGGTCCATTGTCCCGGACCAACAGATGGGGCGGTAATCCTGTGCCAGGCTGAGCTGGAAATCCGACATTCGGTCCTGATTTGACTGGTATTCCCAGATGAGAGTGTGACTTCCTGGGTTTCGGTCGAAGTTGTGGAGCGGTCCCACACATCAACTGGCCGGCCAGAAACGAAGGTAAGCAGGATAAATCTTGTTTATACATAAACCTGCACATTGGATTTATGCCAAAATTTTGTTAATGTGTGGACTACCCACTCTCGACGCTCTAAATTGGATTAAAAACAGTAAGGATAATAAAACACATTTGTTTTTGAATGATGTGCTGATTTGTTCCCTGACACATGTAAGAGTTAACAAGCACATAGTCTCATTTTGAGGGTTGGTAA